GTCAGTAGAGATTACTCTGTTATTAGGGGAAAGGTGTCTAAAACGATTCCTCGGGGTAAAATGATTCCTGGCTGCCCTGTGGCTATTAGTGGTGCTACATCGTAATGTCGTTCTACAATAGTTCTCCCCGCACGTCACCAGTCGTTGCTTGAAGTGCGATGTGAATAGCAATGCCCTGTGTGTTGTCCACAAGAAAAATTTTAAATTACAGCAATTTATCTAACATATGGTCTTTTTCAATGTTGTGTAACTTTTGTCATAAACGGTCTAATGTAACAGCTGCTTCTTGCGCGGATTTAACCACAATTCAATAATAAGTTAATTAATGTTTCGTTACCGTATGTAATAAGTTGATATTATATTCAACCACTGAATGTCAGTTGGGTATTTGGAGTCATATGATCCCTCCCTAGTAGGATAAAATGATCCGAGGAATCATTTTACCCATATGCTATATTATCGTTTTTTTCTTTTAGTTACAACAATGCCCCGTCAGTATGAAAGAAAAACAACGCGTCAAAGCTGTTTTTATTTAAATAAAATGTAATAAATGAAATGCTTTTTAATGTTCGTTGTATTTACTATCAGCAGGTATAAAATGATCCCCGGGGATCATTTATACACATACATTACAAAATGCGTTTATACACATACATTACAAAATGAACCTTAAGTATGCCTTCAAAGAAATGTGAATAAAAAATATAATTGATCAGGTAGCTAAATTTTATTTAAGCCAATGATAAGATAGATAGACTAACTTACAAAACTACTTTACTTTTATGTAAATAATGAGCATCTGTATTTTTTATATAAATTACGCCTTAAAGGAATCGTTTTAGACACCTTTCCCCTACATTATTAACAGTCCGATCGAAAATGTTTTTATCATGTATAGCATGGTTTCAAGAGAGCTTTAACGTAATTATAGCAAATGTTTCGTGAACTCTTTTTTTTTTCATGATTTTTCAAGGTCACTTTCAATTTTTTGCAAATACACCTATAATTTTTTTACGCCTATCTGTTAAAGAATTTCAAGACGAATTCGGTAAGTATCGTAACATAACTTTTACCTTAATTTTGTAATTATTATATAAAATAATAATAAATTAATAAAATTCACAAAAAATTTGCTATAATCACGTTAAATCTCTCTTGAAACCATGGTATACCTGATAAAAACATTTGCGATCGGACAGCTAATAACAGAGTAATTTCTACTGATCACGATTCGTGCTTCACCCTGTATATCACTAAAGATTGCAACGTATCAAAATTTGAAGAAAATCCGAAATGGTGCTCCAAAAAGTGCTCCAAAAGAGTATTATGATACTTACGAGATCACATAATATTATGCCACGATTAACTACAGAAACCGTTAGTTGAATAAATGATACAACGAGAAGTCACTGAAAGGCAAAGTCGAATGCAACTGTCGAGTTAACGCGTCTTTCTCGGTTAACATCGACCGTACGTTGCTCTGTTACATGATATCCCCGGGAGAAAACCGATGCTGCAGAACGTTTTACGAGATGCAAATGTCGGGCAGTCGGACAGCCAGTCAACCGCACCATCAACTCAGCCACCGTTCGACTACACCGGGCGTAATCCTCTTCATCGTCGGCTTTTCTGTTGTCAGGAACACGTAAGAGCTTTGAAACCGCAGTTCGAAGTTAAAACCAGCTCGACGCACTGTTCCGACGTCGTGTAAATAGCGCAGAACTGGTTAACGCCACAGCCGTTTCGCTGTTTTCACCATGACAATTGCGACCCCAAGTGTCGATCGGTGATCTCGACGCCGTGAACTTGGACAGGCGATATCAATCGCAGGAGCCGGACAAGCCGAGATCGCCAATGCTTCGTGAAAAAGGAAACGGAGATCAGACGCAAAGCTTCCAGAAACTTCGAGACTGAATTATGATCGAAGAATGCTGATTTTGGTTGGGGACAAGTAATTAACACTTTGCCAGTCGATTCTTTCGCGACCTTATAAGGCGAAGTTACTTTCTTATTAGTAGTTTCACGAGGAGATAAAGAATTAAAGAAGATATTAAATATATGATTCTTATTAGAAGAATTACACATCGCCCCCAAAATAGTTTCAATTAATAAACACATAATCTGTACGAAGTTTGAACTCGATCGGATATATTTTCGTTTCCTGGATATATCAACGTCGCATAAAGTGCACGTAAGTCTGTATTAGCGATAATGTTATATTACATGCATAACAAAGTATTAACAACTCCAAAGTCACAAATTAACACTGAATACAAATATTATTATCCTGATTATACTAGAGTATATTACCAGAATTTTAAATATTAATTGCTAATTACAATCTTATACTGAATTACTTTTAGTAAATTGACAGTTGAGATCACAACATCATTAAATGACGGATAGGTAATCAGTTGTGAACGCCGTACGGTTAACGTTAATTGACTAACAGACGTGATGTTAATATCTCTGTTTGACTGTAACTTATTACACTTTAAATTTGTTGATTCGCCGAATACTAACGTTCAGTATCCACTGGGGATTAAGGAATGATTAATAGAGGCCGCTTTACGAAACCCTTTCGGACAGGATAGAATCGACGAAGCTAAGGTGAAGTGCATCAGGAAGCAACGGAAGTAATTTCAAAAGACCAAGGCTGCGAACGGTTACTGATCCAAGGAAGAATAATCCATCATTGTGTAACGATACAGTAATCGACCAAACCGACGAAACTCATCAAGGTGACAAGCAATCAATTTAAAAAAAAAAAACGTGTACGTGTCGACTTGAAAAGTACGCCTTCAGTGATTGCAATTCTACGACTGATAATTGCTCGGCGCTAATTACCCAGGAATATTTCCGGAGCAGTTTACCTTGTCTATGGGTGACCTTTCGCCGTAAAAGAAAACAACGATGAGCACACCGAAGAGCTGGACGCGAAAGAAAATTGATGAAGATGCACCCAGCGATGTGTCTACGGCGTATGGAGTGATTAATAATGGAGGACTAATTTTAGAAAATCTCCCAAGCCTCCCATATTTAATATGAGCCGAATTAGTAAATAAATTAATAAATAATGAATAACAGTCTATTACAAAATGCAAAGATAACCGAACATTCAACTTACCAAGTTTTTTTAGACTCAAAAATCATTGCGTCATTATAGGAGATATAAATTCAATAATTTCTACACAGGATCAAGAAAATCTGTTGAACCCCTGATAAACTCACTTCATTAATGAAATATATCAAATAAAAAATAAATAAGGAGTAAGGGGTCTATTCCAAAATAAAAGCAAAATCAGAAATTGTCCTTGTAAGTTTTACTAGGTCCGAATGTCTCTGTAATTTTTAGAATAGATTCCGTAAAATAAAAATCCAAAAAAATGTACAAAGGTATAAGATTATTTTAGTGGCTAAACAGTTCTGAAATGGGGATCAATAATTCCAAGATTACGTTCCCAAAGTAAACAGTAATGTATCGACAGAACCGAAACCTCGACGGTCTAATTAATAACAGGTCCATGATCTATACAGCGACCAAAGTTACAGGAAGTAATAAGCCATTTGAGATACGAATTCCCTGTTATAGCCCTGCTGGGAGCCATTAGAACTTTGCTTGTATAATACACGACAGAACACGGTAATATCATGGCGTAATATGAACATATGGTGAACGTGTTTTCTTATGCAAGCTTAAGAAACTTACTATTAGAGGACTGCACATTAAATGGCCGATACTATAGATTAAAATATTATATTAGACTTTCATGAATGAAAATTATGAACAGAACACACTACTTGCATGTTAAAGTAAAGCGCACACCTTGCACGTTAAATAACTGTATTTGTGTTGCCAATAAAGTTTCGAGAATTTTATTTAAAATTAATTAGAAAAGACAATTTGTAGGAATCAGATATAATTGAGTATCATTTATATATTCACTACGTATTACAGAGGTAACAGTTAATCCGCTAACTGCATTTGTCCACTGCAATAGACGCTTATTTTGTCAGTTATTATAAAATTACGAGCACACATTACCGACATTATAATAATTTTTTTAGGTCAGTTTCACCAATAAAACTCATTTAAGATTTAGTGCAACAGTCTTACTAAAAAGTTCAGCATTTCGTATGTAACACTATGGTTTATTTTTCGAAAGAAGAGCCCTGGTTCTTAACTTTGGTTCCACAATGCGCCGGGCGCAAAAATGCTGATGCTTCACGGAAATGCGTTAAACAAATAGTACGCGGGCTCTGTAGGTATTTACACAGGAAAACATAACAGTTACCAGCGATTCATTGGTCCCGGTGTAAATGTGCTGTTCAGTGAAAACGCACCTGAGAACTGCACATCGTTTTCTCCGGTTATATTAGTCTACTGAGTATACACTCGGAACACCGACAAAGCGGGAATATTTTGTTTCCGAAACGTCTTTGCATCTCAGAAGTCTCTATTCAAAAGTTTATACCCCGGATGTCACGTGCGAGACATAATTACCTCACGGTCAATGTAAATACTACATTTGACCAGAGAAACAACAACATGTTCATCTGTCAATAAATAGATCTACCGAATGAGCGTAAAAGTTTTGGCAGCTGAATGAAGGCTATGAATGTCCATTTTAATTTTATTTTAAAACAATAAAACTCGTGGCACAGTGGACCAGACTGACCGCCGGCGGGTCACATGGCAGCCAACGTGTTAAAAGATGTTTACTGTATTGCGTACAAAATTTATTCTTACTCTTTCGTTGCTTAGCTTATTTGAGAGATCAAATTAGAAAGTAAATATAGTGCCATAGAATTATTATTTTGCGTAAAAATAATCATAAATGATAACTGCTACGTACTGTATTTTCCAAACAGAAATATTTTGTTTCCCGTTATGCATACTTTCAAGTAAAAAAGTCATGCATTAAATCGATAATTCTAAATTTTCTAATTTAAAATATATTAATAAAGAGGTATAAGAAGTTTTTAAATAAATAACTCACCCTATCTTGGTGATTAGCTTTCCATGAACATGAAGGTAAGACGTGACGAACCTCTTGTTCACCTTAGAGAAAAAATATAACTTAAATTAAAATCAAATTTCAGGCAATCAGTGTAACTATATGTTCATGACATATGTATACATATATACATAAATATATATTCATACTAGATTTATTTTATTTCATTGTACTTATTTTTTCACTTATTATTGTAAAACTATGTACAGACACTGTGTGGCTTCCTCGTGAGGCTGTCCTAAATACAGTTACCCCGCGTCTTAAATAGATTGCGCGAGATAAGCAAACGAGGCGGGGTGAGCCAACAGTTACTGCGAGGCAACCATCTATTGTACATGTACAATGCTGTCGAAAAGATTTAAAAAAAGTAGAATATTCCAAAACGAAAGAACATGAACGCGAGTATTGTTGCAGGGTATTCAATAAAAAGCGAAGTTCTGTCAGAGATTTTAGTCCCTGCTATTAACTACAGAAAATGCAGGATTAGGAAAACATATTTCTAAAGATCGTGATTGATATAACGGTGTAGGTATACAATTAAAATGATGGTTTTAACTTATACGTCAGTGGGACGTTCGAACATGGACCGTTTTGTACTGGTCCTATGCTTCTTGTGCGCATCCGGTAACAATATGCGTCTAAATGAAGCGAGGAATGAACTGCTAGGCCCCCTTTATCTCGTCAAAAAACCGACAATCGTTGACTTGCCGCGAGACACATGTACACTTCGCGTAGCACGCCTCGCGAGGCAGCCTCGCAATGTCTGTACATAGCTTAATAAGTAATAAGTGTATTTCAATTTATACATATATTATATATATTTTGTGTGTTTATTTACTCAATTTGATTTTTATTTCTAAAACGTTGTATTTATTGTGCCCTCACCTCAACGCTATTTAATTGTGCCAATTCTTCTAAATCACTATGAGACAACCTTGCTTCATTGGCAGTGCCGGCTGTAGTTGTACGACGAACCCGTCTGCCACCAGGATGAATCCAAATTTCCCTCCTTAATCCACCCCCGACACTGTTTGCCCCTTCTTTTTCTTTCATTCTCGCCCTCTCCTTCCATTCTCTCTCTTCTTTACGTTTCCGTTCGGTTGACTCATACTGTTAGAATACACAGTACAATAAATCTCAAAATAGTTATTTGTATAATTTTCATTAAAAACAGCACTGCGCATTATGTAAATGAGAGTTCGTTCTATTAAGTTTCTCCTTATAAAGAATCCATGTAATATTTATATACTAATATCCCTAAAATCTCTCAAATACTAAAAGCAGATACAAACATCATACATTTAAAGCTCATACAATGTTTGTACCTCTTAATGGCAACTATAGAAGATGCATGCTCATATTTTATGCAATATGGTGCTGATAACTGACAGAAACAGTGCTTTGATTTTCAGCTACTAATCTAATAATGAGCAATATAATATCCTTTAACTATGTTTGTATCATATACAGGGGGGGGTGGGGCAATAACTATGTCCACTTTGAATATTGCCTGTATTTGTAATAATATGGAAAAACGTTATGTACAAAACTTACACGGTATAGAGGGGGGCATATAGTGACACAAACATTTTCTGCGTGGGTGAAGGCATAGAGGAGATTTCAAGGTCATCTCTATTTTTCTTAATGGAATGCTATGTTTTTTTTATCGCGATGTGATAGCCGGTGTTGAGATGACTTCAGCAAGCTATTATTGAAGGTCATGCAGGGTCAAATGTGGTAATAAAATACACTTTCTTACATTACAGGAGATGCTCGAAGTGGTGACCGTTTGGGTCAATGCAAAATTGTAATCTTCGTATCGCTGCATCATGTGCATGTCTATATATTTTCTGGTGTAGTGGGTACTTCTTGATAAACATCATTTTTCAATGCTTTCCAGAGAAAAAAAATCTAATGGGGTTAAATCTGGAGAACGAGGTGACCAAGAAACTAATCCTCCACGTCCTATCCATTTATTTGGGTAAAGTTCGTTCAGTGCATCTCTCACTCTCCGAGCATAATGTGCTGGACACCCGTCGTGCTGTAACCACATCATTTGGCGAACGTTTAGTGGTACATTTTCTAATAATGTCCCCTATGAAATAATACAGCATGTGCTAGAATAAGTTCAGAAACGATAAGACATGCACGTGATGCAGCGACACGAAGATTGCAACTTTGCATTGACGCAAACGGTCACCAGTTCGAGCATCTCCTATAATGTAAGAAAGTTTATTTTACTACCACATTTGACCTTGCATGACCTTCCATGATAGGTCGCTGAAGTCGTCTCAACACCGGCTATCACATTGCGATAAAAAAAATATTGCATTCCATTAAGAAAAATAGAGATGACCTTGAAATCTCCTCTATGCCTTCACCCACGCAGAATATGTTTATGTCACAATGTTCTGCCCCCCTTTATACCGTGTAAATTTTGTATATAACATTTTTTCATATTATTACAAATACAGGCAATATTCAAAGTGGACATAGTTATTGCCCCACCCTGTATAAGAATTAATTTACACTTAAAGTATCATCATTTAGAATCACTAGTAACACTACCAATTGTATTCAATCATAGAATAAGGGAATAGCCGGCTAAGGGCATCAATATTATCCTTAAGTGAAACTCTTAGGTCGAATTGGACGTGTGATGAAAAAACAATCTGTACCAATTTTCAACCCTCTATCTGAAATCTTGAAAAAACATTTGAAAGTAAAGATTCCACACTTTGAAACGATTTGTTAATGATATCGATTTGAACATTTTTGCCGCAATTATGAGCATTTGAACTTGTCTCCATTTTTCGAGATCGTAGAGGTGATCCTTTCATTTTTTTGCGAAGTGTATATGTTCTTAAAAAAAGAAATACAAAAATTGAAAGTATAAGTAACTTTTTCACACAAAAATCATCAATAAAATCGATTTTTGATTTTTGCCACTACGGTGCACCTTAGCGAAAAATCTGCAAAAAAATGCGGGCATCATGTATTATGATAATATGTCAGTACTGTAATTACATAAATCCAGTCGCTTTAAAACTTCAATAAGAAATCCGCATTTTTCATCATTTTTTAGTGTTGTTAATTTTTTACAACTAGAATTTTCAATAAATTAATCGGAAAAGGTTCTCTAACACGTGGCCCGGTAACTACCATCTATCAGATCTACCGAATTTTTGTATGCCTTAAATAGGGAAAATAGAGGAAAAACTAATAATCCGAATTTTCCCTGTTATTGCCATCCTAGTCGAGATAGAGGATTGAAAATTGGTACAGATTATTTTTGCTTGATAAGCTATCGAATAGTCCATCACAAGTCCAATTCGATCTAACAATACGGACACTTTTGACCCCCTTATCCGGCGATACCCTTTACCTTCGAATGATTATAACTGTCCGAAAAATATAAATTCAATATGTTTAAGTATAAGCATGCAAAGAAGTCTGTGATGCGCAAGAAAACTAATGAGAAAGATCAAATGGGCGCAAATCAATTGTAATATTAGGCAACATATAGGTAGAGAAACTATTGCAAGCTTCGGTTAAGATAACTGGTATCTAAAGAAATCACACCAAGTATCGAAATTTACTTACATAATGTAGATACTGGCAGCAAAACAGAATTGAAATATTATTAACGTTAGTATTAATACAAACATGTTAGGAAACTACCTGAATTTTTACCATACCTTTTTCCTGTTCTCATCAAAAAGTGCTATTAAGCTCTCCCTTGCAGAATGGAATGGATTGGATGCCATAAGAGATCTCATATAATAATATACTGCATCCAATTTTCGTCTCTGAAAGAAAAGTTAATTTTTGAATTCTTCAATTTTGTATTTTTTTTCATTAAATTTGTAACTGATTTTATAATGCTTACAGCATAGTGGGCTAGTAATGCAAGCTGATTATAAGGCCTTCCATTCTTAGGATTAAGTTGCTGCGCTTTCAAATACCATCTAAAAATAAGTTAAATTTAACTTTGAACTAAACCACGTTTAAAGAATCTGATAGTATTATTCATTTGTTAACACTTACTGCCTAGATTTTCCATAATTGTTCGTTTCATTTGCCTGCTCTCTATACCTTGCCAAGTCACCCAAAAATAAGTATATTTTTTGCGCGCTTACTAACGCTAAGCCTAAGATTCCAAGCCCTTTAGGCAGAGTTGATGATGCAAGAAACATGTCCAATTTAAATTCGTATTTGCTTTCAAGTACAGTTAACAAACTTTCTAAGTATACGGTACCCTCGTCAATGATCTTGAGCATTATTTTTTTGTACTGCTCTCGCCCCTCAGAACTCTCTTTAGGCATACCTTTCCGAAGCATTTCGATCATATTGTAAAAAAGTATCTTCCAAAAGTGTTGCTCAACATTTTCAGATTGACAGAATTTAATGTCCGTTTCGAGTAAAGTTTTCAAACTCTCTTGAAGGAAGTGTCTTATGTATAAAACCCTTTCCCATTTTGATGTGAACCCACCAGAACTCAATATCCATTGTAACTCTAAATCAGCACGCTCTATGTCCAGAAGTAAATAATGATTTTTTGCTGAGCGAAAACTGCCAAACAAGAAGCAATGTTATTAAAATAAAACATTTTTATTCTTAATTTAAAACATACTCATCATTTTTACATACCTATCAGAGTAAGGATCATACCACGAAGGCCTTGTATTACCAAACTGATCATTCGTCATATATGGTGGTGGTACACTGTCTAAGTGTGTTCCTTGAAAACTATGGTGTGGTGAAGTAATGCCTCCATGAGACTGGAACACTGGCACGTTGGAACTCTGAGATGAGGTTTCGCCCTCTCTAAAACGAAAATAATTTTATTAAACACTAAAATCAACATAAAAATGAGAAAAATACGGTCATTCCTACCTTTGAACTACAGCCCTACTACTGGGTGATGGAACAACAATTGGTTTATCAGGATTGTTGTGATTGAATAATGTTCTTTGTTGCTGGGCTCCTTGCGGTCTTGAACCTGAATGACTAGGCGGAGATTGGTTAGTCTCGGGTAAGACTAACACACCTGGTGGTTGGGAATTACTGTATCCACTAGGAGATGTTTGATGTGATGTCAAATTTAAAGTGGTATTTGATAAAGAAGCAGAATGAGAGGAAACATTAGGTGTTTGTCGCCTCTAATTCTAATTTGTATCCGACATGAAATATAAACTTAAAAAAATAATTGATACCTATGTCTGTAAAGGTCATCAAAGTTTCTACTACTACCACGATAATTTCTATCTTTACTAGATTCGCGGCTACGTTGTATAATATTCCGATGTCTTCTGTGATCATGTCTTCTACTATTATTAGTATTCTTTTGATTATTGTTAAAGTTATCATTTTCTCTGTTTTGCTGATTGTTTTGTCGATCACGACTATTAACACGAGCTTTATCCCTGCTATTGCTCCTTGAAGAATACAAAAAAATACACTCGACATGTTTATACTGCATTTTTATCAAACTATGTTTATCTAAATAATACATAGGCTGGTATGAACGTACCGGTCTGCCGGGTGTCTCCTTTCACGCTTTTTTTTTTTACGTCGACTGTGACCGCTCGTTGTATTTTCATTTCCAGGCACATTAGAGTTTTCACGCAAGCTTAACACAGAAGAACTGCGACTTGTACGTTCAGCTTCCACTTTTTCGTCCGATTCAGCTTCTTCATTCCAATCCTAAATATTTTAATTTAAACATAATGCATGTGCTAATATCATATATGTACACTTTTAAAACAAAAATACTTACAATTATATAATTAGCTGATCTATGTACTCCTCTATTAACGGATTCAGTTTTTGATGGGCTAACATCTAAATTTTGCGGACTATTCTTTTTTTCCTGTGCTATATTAAGTTCGGGTGCATTATTACTTTGTCGTTGCCTTTAAAAGAGGAATAAAAAGATAGTGAATGGAACTATTAAAAAATTATAAGAATATACAACTTAAATAAACTATTACGTTTGAGTGCGATGAAATGTTGAAGGAGGTGATACTCCTCGACGATAACTATCGGGTGAAGTCTGACGTTTATTTGCACTGGATGTTAAAGTAATAGGTGACACTGAAGACGCTGGTGGCATCACTGAACTGTCAGCACGGCTTAAACTTTCCATACTAGTGTACATAGTACTATTACTACCACGACGATCGTAAGACCTATTTTTCAGAGTACAATAATATATAATACAGTAAGAAAAATATAAAATATATTTCAGTATATTACAAGACAATTGAAGGGTAAGAGGAAAAAACAAATGTCCATATTTAGTGAACTACTGAATCACCGAAGGTTACAAAGTAGAAACGTCCACATAAGATAACGTTAAAGATTTGGTGTACTGGTTAAACACAGTATTGGACTAAAGCATTGAAAATTGATTTTTTTCATAAAGCTGATTTATAACATTCATTATTTTTCCCCTTACCCTTCAATTGAGGAACAGAAACCTTTATGCAATGTTCACATCAATTACGTAAGTGCAAAAGCCAATCAAAAATATGTTATTAAAACTTTTTACATGGATCTTCGTTTATGAACAAATCGCACGTGAAAATTAATTAGGCACGCAAACTTTCGCATTTAACTGATTAATATATCTACCTATTACTCACTACTTCTACTTCCACTAAAAGTTAACGAGATTATAGTAATATTCATTTTCCATCACTCTGACTAGATCCTAATTCTCAATTTACAGTATTCTTCCCATAAGGTTGTACTTTACAAACCCCCATATCATCGCATCGCTATTCCTACGCTATGTCGTCAGCCAATGAAGGCTATTACAAAATCGTGTCGACTGCTCTCGTTTCGATAATCATGCGACGCAATCTTATGCGAGAAATACTGTATACCAAATTTTTATTAACAATTAATAACTATCGCCGTTAACATTCGTAAACATTAATAAAAGTAAAGATAACTAGTAATGGACAAACAGTCAAGAAAAGGGTAGAGAAAATAAAAAACCGTACGAAAAAGATAGTACTCTACATTCTAGTTTTGTTTTATATAAGAATATAAGTAATAAAATATGTACCTCTGCATGTACTCTTGACTTGGTGTATGAGACCTGGAACTTGGAGCTGAATACTGATCAGGTGTAACACACCTGAAAATATTTGTCGAACTCTCTATTTCTTCAGGTCTAAGTCTGCCCCTGCCTCTACTTCGTGCTGGCACAGTATTTGACCAATTAGGTTGTGGAGGTAGCGGACCAGATAGAGGTAAATTTTGCATAGTTTGTGAGTGCTGCATTGCAGGTGGATAATTATGAGTTGATGAGCCCTTTAAAGACAACATTTATATACCAAAAATTCAATCAAAATTGAAGTAAGTCCTGTGGACATGAAAATACAATGAAATTTACTTGAAATATAATACTACTGCCGTTCCACGTATCTTCTGATGGTGAGGAATTGCTTACTGGCAAGGGTAAACCATTATCGATAAGATATTTTTTTTGTAACCGAGGTGGTAAGTGCTCTATTTTCATATTTTTTGGCAAACTATCTTTTGGGCCACCCCATTTACCCGAAGGTGGCTTGCCTTGAAACTTTTCTGGATGTCCAGCAGGTTCTACACTACGTGTTTCTCTAGTACGATTAAAATCATTGACATGATTCATTGTTGCAAAAAGAGGCTCTGAACCCTGAAAAACCAATGTCACAAATTAAAAGGAAATGTTAATTACATAATGTTAGGTCTTGTATCACAATTATCACTTACCTGTCTAACTTCACGAGAATTATCTTTTCGATTTCCAAAACTTCTATTAGATAAAGGAGAATCAGATCGCCAACGTTCCTCATTCTCATCGCCATGACGATTTCGACGATTACCCGAATATCTTTTTCCAGGACCATCTCTACCTCTACCTCCATTATCAATGTCACGGCTACCACGACCACCTGATCGATTACGATGACTATCGCTTTTGTAGCTACGATTTGAATGAGAATCACGGTCTTCACTATGATCTCTGTCTTGATCTCGATCCCAGACTCCTTGATTAGATGACCTAAGCAATAAAAATATAATGCTTATTTTTCATTCAGGTATTTGTTAATAATAAAACAAAGACGTTTCCATGGAATTTACCTATTCGAAATATCCTGTTCAGCCAATGCTTCTTTTACTTTTTTAGGTACATATAACTGTTGTTCTGGCTTCTTAACTTTTTTTCTTGAATCTCCTAAGTTGCTGTTTTGTGAAGAACCTTGTGCCTGTTCAATATGTGCAGTAGATCGGTAGTTAATATTTAAATCGTTCAATTTTTCCGTTACATGTTCAACTTGAGAAGATGGTAAACTATTAAGAGTTTGATTGGAACTGTTTATTTGCGACTGCTTTAAACGATGCTGGATGGAGCTTGGTTTAGGATTTTCCTGTGACATGTTCTCATTATCTAAATCATCCATGGATCTACCCGACTTGCGAAGAGGCCCACTTCCTGGCCTATATAAAGGTTGAGAGGCTCTGTTTCCTCCACCACGTATTCCCATTGATTTATCCTTTCCTGATTTTGTATTGTCTGAAATTTATTAAATTTATTCATTTTAAAACATATCTAAATACAAAAAAAGGATTATATTAAATATATGACACATTACAAGGATTTACACAATATTGCATTTAAAAATGTCTAAGAAATAATAAAATATTGTAAACAAAGTATATAGTTCAAAATGACCATTTTGAACTCATAAGTATAAAAATATAATGTTTTATATAGAATCACATTTAACACGTTGTATGCTGTGGGGGTCACCGGTGACCCCAATTCTAGGCGGTATACTTTTCAATATTATTAATATCGGTCCATAAATCGTTAAATTTCTACAAACTAAATGTCAAAAGTATGACAACATAGTTGACTTTAATAATTTTATATACCATTTTATTCTTCTACACTCTGTGTAACAAAAATTTCACTTCGATGCTGTGGCTGAAATGTATGAAAATCCTATGGCACTCAACGTGTTAATAAATAACCATACACACAAGTAATGTTTAAACAATAAACAAAACATGGAAAATATTAGATTTTTATATCATAACAATTCATACAAAATAATTAGATAAAAGATTTTATGCAATTGTGATATATTAAAATGTGTAAAATACAATAAAATAGAAACTATACTAAAGCTTAAAAGAATAATTATTTTGTGTTTAGCTCAGTGGAAACATTGATAAATAGACTCAATTTCTATTCATAAATATATAAGAACTTGAATTAGCATAAACATCCATAGTCTATAAATAACATAAAAACAAGTCACTTGTATTAGCTAAATTACTATACACTGAAAAAATTATATTTATATTAAAATAAAGGAATCTTCTAAGTAAATTAAACATACAAACTATTGTACAGTTTTTATTAAGTTTCATTAAGAAACCATTAGACTTAAGATACAAAGTGTCTGTCCTTATACATATTATATATTGCATATTACACGCAAATTGACGAAAGTGTGTATACATACAATTCATTAGTGTTACTATTAATTAGGCGAAGTACTTAGCTAAGTTTGATAATTCGCTAATAGTTGTTGACACTCTTGACAGTAAATAGAGTTCCTATCAATCGTCAAAAATTCAATGTAATTATAATATAATCTACATCTGTTTCAACTAAATTCACATCTTATAGGAAAGTTCAAACCAAACCGTAGAATATGCTAAATTTACTTCTTGCTCTGGTAAAGTTTCACAACATATCACGGCATAATAATTTCTGCTATATTTTAGGTTAGCTTGTTTGGTGAGGTTAGTTCTGTAAAGCACTCAACAAAATTTCGATAAAGCGTACATGCTTATTAATTATACACGCGTAAAATGCAATTTCTGAATTACAAATTGTGATGTTTATATTATTTAATAGTATTCTGTTTTCTAAAATACCTTGTAAAAATTCTCCCCACTTTTTGCGTCCTTTGTCGCGGTTCGCCATATTGAAGTTGATTGAAGTACAATCAAGTACAATCATATCAAAATTTTTATAAAATCAAGGTATACGATTTTGCTGCTGATCATTCATTCGGTCGATAAATAAGACTAAGAATCAACGAAGGTATAGAAAATTAATTAGAACACACGTCATTATTTCTACCCTTTATGAACATAAAATATTTATAAAATTAAGTTTCCATATTTATAAAACGAAGTCACTAATATGTGGCTACATACTTAAATATTTCGCTATAAATAACAAAAACTTAATAAATATATTACACAGTTGGAAAATATTCTTTCGTTGGAGTAGTTTAGCTGAACGACGGTAACCATTATCATATTCTTTTTTATAAAATGCAGGATGCTCACTGGGAGTTGTTAAATAATAGTTTTAATGCTTTTAATTTGTCTATTTTTATTTTAATCCCAGTGAGCAAACTGATTGGCGGAATAACGTCCGACTAACAGTACCCTATGAGCAAACTGACGTCAGATGCACGGCATCTGGTGTCATAGTCGATCAGGCAGAACCTTAGAATTATATACATTTGTCGCTGCATTCTGGATGTATATGCCGTCAGATTCACAGCATAAACACAGTAACTCTGCTATAGAACGTAACGTCAGATTCGCAGCAGAAACAGAGTAACTCTGCTACAGAACGTAACGTCAGATTCGCAGCAGAAACAGAGTAGATCTGCTGTAGAACGTAACAGTAGACTTACTGTCGTGAACAGAGCAGTCTGCAATATAAGCTAATAACATAAACCCAAAAAGCCGTGTGCATAATGTCACCACAGATTGCTACAGACTAACGTTATAAATAGAGCAGTCTTACGATATAACCTAGCGGGTTTTGGCAATTAAATATTTTTTTAATTTCTCGGAAATATTTATTTACAATATGAATTCAATGATGTTTACAATTTTTACAAAATAATACATATGTAGGCTATATACATTATTTATACGACGACTTCCCAAATGTTGTCATCTGATTGTAGTAATGATTACTGGCTGGTTCGAAGGCTGTGAACAAAAAAACGTGGGATTAAATATTCAGAATAGGGAATGAATATTTTTCGTTAATTTTTTGAAGAAAGTGGCACTAAAAAGTGCCATTTGGTTTATTACGAATATGGAAAGGTACTTTCCGTATGAATTGAAAAGTGAGCATTGAAAAGTGCTGTTATAGTTAGTGTGAACGTAGAGAGATTATTCCCGTTTGAGTCAATTAAAAATGAGCACTGAAAAATGCTGTTTGTTTTTTGCTATTTCAACTTATTTCCGCGGATGCGACCGACTATCGACCACATGTCGGGACTTGTAGGTTATTGTCTATTGTCAAGAATATTCGCAAAGAAGGAAATGCTTAAAAGAACCAAGCCATAAAGCACACGACTCTAATTACTCTAATTACGGTGACAGTCGGAGAGTGCGCATTTATTCGGATTGCATCATTAGCACATCTACTATTTAAATTAATAAATAAATTATTGAGCGTTTCGAAAAAAACTGCTGTGTTTTGTACAGTACTTGTTTCTATACAATGTGTTTGAGAAGCGGTAATCATGGCAGATGATACGCGTCGGCTAAAAACTTGAAGTGCAAGCTTACATTTCATTTTATCAAAAGAATTTGGACGAATTTGCTTTTCGGATAACTTGTAAACTGCGCGCGTACTTTGATCTTTCTCTAAATTCCAAAGAGCTACAACATCGGACCATGAAACCCGTGAACCATTGATCATGAAATCATTTTTCATTAAATTATTTCTAATACTTTTAAAAAGATGTAAATAATCGAAAAGGAAATAAACTTTTTGGCTATTTCTTTCAAAATATGGCTTTTCAATAGTAACTAAGTCATTTGCGACACTCTGATTACTGGATCCCTGATCGGAAACAACTACTTTCACTTTCAAGCCAGTCTCATACAGTGAATCTAAAATTTTGTTCAAAATAACAGACAAATCTGTTTTCTTTACGCCAGATCCAGATACAAAGAAAGCCAACGATTGTTTCCAATTAGTAAACATCCCACGTAGCATAAAAACAAGCACTTGCGAACCCACGGCTAAATTTCTACCGAAAAATCCAAGATCTTCGAAACCTTCAATAACTTGCTTGGTTGGGTGGTAATCCAGACACTTTTTGATAGCCATTTCATCAAAAAACAGAACACAATTTCGATCTATACCTTCCATATGGGCAGATTTAATTTTGAGCGCGGTAAATAAGTTTGGGCAGATTCCAGGCCAAATGTCCATTTTACCAAACCACCGAATGATGGTGACAGGATCCGGTAGATGAAAACCCAAGACGTTGCATAATTTAATGTACAAAGCTGGCGAAGTGTAATGCATGGTCATGCACAATTGTTGCTCACAGCGATTGTAACGACGCGATCTAAGTAGCGGAAATAATAACATTAAAATAAAAGTTAAAATAAAACCCGAAACTTTTTTTGCAATTGCTTTCTTTAAACATGTATCATCAATACAGCCGGAAGTACTTTATTTTTAAAACGATTAAATGCTTTACTCTTCAACCGTATTTGCAATCGAAGACAATTAGAAATATTCTTCTCTCGCAATAATAGTGCTTCAGTTTCCATCAATCGTTTTTCCAGTGGATTGTGTTCACTCTTTGTTGAACTGATATCAAATTCAAAACTTGTTTCACTTTCATTATTATTTGAATCAGTAATACTAATTTCATAAAGTCACGGTATCACATTTCTTTTCAGTCGACCTAACGCGGAATAACTATCGTTTGGAAAATGCCGACTGCATATGTATTTTTGTTTTAATGTACTATCAGGTAATTCCACCCAATCATCGAGACCGGAGTTTACCAGCCACGTAATACATCGATCATTGTCATTAATAGGGAAAGAAT